GGGTTTGAGTTTATTTACTCAATGATTGTAAATAAGTTTAAAAACTGCTGGCATTCTCATGGAAGCTTAAATTGTAGGACTTGGTGTGAATGTCGAACAAGATTAAAAGTGTGAAGTGATTCATTTTGGAAGGTCGAATTTGAATGCAGAATACAGGGTTAATGGCAGGATTCTTGGCAGTGTGGAGTAACAGAGGGATCTTGGAGTCCACGTCCATAGATCCCTCAAAGTTGCTACCCAAGTTGATGGGGTTGTAAAGAAGGCATATTGTGTCTTGGCTTTCATTGGCAGGGGAATTGAATTTGAGAGCCGTGAGGTTATGCTGCAGCTCTATAAAACTCTGGTCAGATCACACTTGGAATATTGTGTTCAGTTCTGGTCACCTCATTATAGGAAAGATGTGAAAGCTTTAGAGAGGGTGCAGAGGAGATTTACCAGGATGCTGCCTGGACTGGAAGGCAGGTCTCATGAGGAAAGGTTGAGGGAACTAGGGCTTTTTTCATTGGAGTGAAGAAGGATGAGAGGTGACTTGATAGAGCTGTACAAGATGATGAGAGGCATAAAAAATAGTGGATAGTCAGAGATTTTTTCCCAGGGCGGAAATGACAATTCCGAGGGGGCATAATTTTAAGGTGATTGGAGGAAGGTATAGGGGAGATGTCAGAGGTAGGCTCTTCACACAGAGAGTGGTGGGCGTGTGAAGTGCGCTGCCAGCAGTAGTAGTGGAGTCAGATACTTTAGAAATTTTTAAGCGACTCTTGGATAGGCACATGGGGGATAGTAAAATGTAGGATATGCAGGATAGTTTGATCTTAGTAGGATAATAGATCGGCACAACATCGTGGGCCAAAGGGCCTGTACTGTGCTGAAAAAATTTGTAAAAATTTTTTTAAGATTAGTTTATTTGTTGGTAATGAAACTTATTTGTTGCTAACAAACTCATAAACAACATCCTCACTGGCATAAAGTTCACCGGGGAAGAGGAGAACAGCAAAAGACTTCGCTTCCTGGATATAATGGTCGAATGTGTGGCCAACGGTGAGCTTCAGACCAATATACACAGAAAGGCTACCCATACGGATCAGATACTGAACTACAATAGCAATCATCCAAATACCCACAAACAAAGCTGTATCAAAACACTGTTCAAGCGAGCTGTAACAGACTGCAGCAACCCGAAGCTACGCAAAGCCGAGGAACAATACCTATACAGCGTCTTTAGAAACAATGGTTACCTGAAAAGTTTAGTCCGTCGATACCTACACAACAGGAAGACACAACACATCCGGAGACGCTAGTGACCCTTCCATACATCAAGGACATATCTGAAATGACCATCAGATTACTCCGCCCCCTAGGAGTCATGGTAGCTCACAAACTGACAACTACTGATGAGTATAAAGGATCTGACCACCACAACTAACAGAACCAATGTTATTTACAAGATACCATGCAAAGACTGCCAAAAACATGACATACAGCAAGCCAGAAGGAAACTAGCCATCAGGATTCGTGACCATCAACTTACTACCAAGAGACACGACCAATTATCCCTCATATCAATACACATGGTCAAAGAGTGACTCCAATTTGACTGGGACAAGCCAAGCAAAGACACGCACAAGAATTCCTGGAGACTTAGCGCTCAAACCGGAACTCCATTAACAAACATGTAAAGCTGGAACCATATACCAACCACTAAGAAACAAATCCAGAAGTGATACCACCCACCCCAATAGACCAAGACTCAGAGAGAAATAGCAAGCAGGACAGAACACAGATGCTTCACTGGAGGCGCACTGATGATGTTACCGAGCATGGTGGCGAAACGTTTGCAAACAAACTTACCAGTTCGGCGAGCAAGTCAACAAGCGCATCAACAACCCGAGCTACACATCTTTTTAGCCTTTGTTTTTAAACCGTTTTATTGAAGTTTTTTGAGCTCTATCGCATTCCTAAACTTGAGTTATGGTTAAGCTGCCCCTTTAAATGCCACAAAATCCAACAGCCAGATGTAACCTCTGACTAATGTAAACCAAAGTAAAATTGCTGTTTAGTGTGTGGGAACTTTGTGATTAGCTTCTTTGTGAATTTCTAAATTCTTGTCAGTGAAAAGTATTATTGATTGGTGTTCTCTTTCTTTCTACTTCTCACAATTCAGATCATATGTCATTTGTGTTTCAGTTGGAGGAGGGAGGTGGAATAACAACCCATTGTACTTTATAGCAAAACTAAGTTGGTTATATTTGGTCGAAAAGGTTTATCTGGAAGTAGAGGTTGGAGAGGCAGATTCATCACATGGTGATGGGGGCATTTGCTTTAATTGATTCTTTGACTTGATGGCAAAATGAAAGGATTTGAATTCAAATGTGTGGCTATGAGACACAACAACCTTGAGCTTGAATGAAATGTATAATTCCTTTGTTTTTCAGTAGTTGAATGAAATACTTAGTGCTTTCACAATGTTTGCGTTGTAATATTAATATATAACCAAAATATGTTTGTGACACTGAACTACTGAGGGAAATCAGTAAGCGCAATACTTAGGCTGTGGATGTTGCATTCAACTCTTCGATAAAATTGATATCTTTTCTGGCACAATTGTAATCTCACTAACCTGAATGATCAGATTTTAAAGACAAGCTGTAGAGCATTGAGACAACCCAGAAGTCATGAGTTTGACCCTTGTTGGGTGGAGGGGATAATCAAAAGGGCAGCAAAAGAGAAGGAAAAAAACCTTCATAAGGCGTGTCGAAGGGACCTGTATTTACTGTGTGAATCTTAGTCATATCTTGTGCGTCTGGGACAACAATCTAGTGCACAAATTCCTTCATTGCCAATTTGATTTTACTCACATTATCACATGGTGTTTATGGAATGAAATCTTATTAAAGGCTTTGAATACATTGTATTTCATAAATTAGAATCTTTCTTTCTGTTGGAATTTGCATGATGCCCCCAGTTGTTCAATATTTTTGGTGATGGTTAATTTTAGTGTAATGTCACATTTTCGTCAAAAAGTAATTTGGAACAACTTAGAGTACACTGTTATGGTCTGTGTAGCTGGTCTCAAAATGTACTAGATCAAAAATATGACAGTCTTAAATCATTTGCCTTCCCAAATGCTATCCTACTTCACTTTGAATTTGCCAAAATAAATTCTAACATTCAGTTCATTTGAATTGTGCAGAAGTATTTGAATAAAACTGAAGGATTAACTTGAGCTTTTTGCACATGTTAAAAACATGAGAGATATGAGTATGTTGCTATGATGTTTGGAAGGGGTAGGGGGAAGAAACTACATCTAGTTTAATAATGGATCATTCACTGTAAGAGTTATTAGAACATACCGTCAGATTAGTTTTCTGCACGATCAACTGGAGAACGAAGACATACATCATGTCTTTTTAAACTTGTGGGCCACCTAGCCAGGCTTCTTTAGCATCAAGTTATGCTTGGAGTTATTGTTCAAGTAAGAAATGTTTTCAAACCAACTAAAGAATTCAGTGACATCATTAGTGAAGTCCTGAAGAACTGTTTTATAGTGGCAATTAAGTATCAAGATATAAACCTCATAAAAATCTGGTTACACAATTAGCTAAATTTCCACATTGCCTCTTCAACACATTTCACAACAAGATTCATTTCAGTGTGCTTCGACTTGACTCAATCTGCTATCCCTCTGACGTTTTTGGGAAGAGACGTTTGCACGTGTACTTGATTTAATTCTTCATTTGTGCATTGCACTGAAATGAATTTTGTTGATCCTTACTTCGTCTACTTACTAAGCCTTTTTTGAATCTTTTGTGGAATGTGGGAGTTGTCCATTCCTTATTTCCTGTTGGCTTCCTAGGCCATTTCAGAGAGCAGTTAAGAGTTAACCATATTGCTGTGGGTCTGGAGTGAGTTGTGGGCTAGAACAGGTAAGGATAGCAGACTTGCTACATTAAAAGATGGTAGTGAACTAGATAGGCTTTTATGACAAGAAATAGTAAATAATAATAACAATGATCCCCAATACAGAGACTGGTTTTCAATTCCAGAATTATTAATTCAATTTAAATTCTGCAAACTGCTGTGGTGGAACTTTGAACCTTTGGCCCTCGAGCATTAGACTGGGCTTCTGGTTCGCTAGTCCAGTGACATTACCACGATAACACTATCTCCCCAAATTGCTGATTGTAAACTGAAATTTCCATAAGCATACTAATAGTTTGTTTTCTGATCGTTAAAAGGGGAAAACTAAAGTAGTCATTTCATTTTAAATGAAAAATACTTCGATTCATAGACATTTACAATACAGAAGGCCATTAAGCCTGTAATGTCTGTGCCAGCCAACAAAGATCTTGCTATGTTATCCCATTTCCAGCTTATGACCCATAGCCTTGAAAGCTATACCAACACAGATTAATATATAAATACCACTTTAAGGTGACAAGTGTTTCTAACTCAGCCATCCTTCCAGGCAGTGAACTTCCGATTCCCACCAGCCCTTCATTGAAAACATTTCCCTCGATCTGCTCTGTTTTCTCATTTACTTAGTGCATTGTTGCCATCATGCTAATGGTCAATGTGTTTTAGAGTAACAAAAGAAATTGCCAGCTAACTGGAAGCCAAGACTTTGAGCTGTGGATCAAAATACTTAATATAGCGATCTGTACATCATTTTCTAGTGCATTGTACAGCATTCTATATTCCAGTGTTGTTTAGGAATGCAATATTCTACTGTAAGATTGTTCACATATCCAAGAAAGTACAGAAAATCATTTTTTAAAATTCTGTAAATTCTTTAAATATTTGCAAGACATTTGTGGTTTGATTGTAATTTTGAACTACATTATTTTGTTGCAATTTTTCATGTGAAGAAGTAAATAATGTAAAGCTAATGTATATATGATTTGGAAAATGTCATTGTGGGTGAGTGAAAATCTGTAGAAGTTTGAGAAAAGGCTTGAGACATCACAAGAAATATGATTTATAATTTTTGTTTTATCCATCAGGATCAATTTGACAACTTGGAAAAACACACACAATGGGGAATTGAATTTGTAGAGAGATACAACAAATTTGTTAAGGACCGGACAGAAATTGAGATCAGCTATGCAAAGCAGCTTAGGTGAGTATTATGAAAAGTAATGTAATCAATTTCTGATGTGGTAAATAAAAGATGAGTAATATATAAAGTCCATGGGGCTTGTGCTCTCAGTGCTTGTATCCACTTGGTATGTACATGCTTACTTCAACCTTTTTGTTGTTCGAAAGGTATAACAAAAAAAGTGCTTTTAATCATTGCTTTTAATTACTTGGGTTGCTGAACGATGATAAATAATTATTAAATACATACAACAAAAATACATTTACCTGTGACAGAGTGCATTTAAGGTATTTGCTAAAGTTAATGCCTGTGATTGAAATGGTATTATTGGACTAATCAGCAATTTCAGTTAGGCAAAATAAACGAGAAATGAAAGAATGTTCTTCATAAATTCAGTTTCTATGTTGAAAGAAATGGGATGTTTATAGAAAATGTTTTACAGCAGCTCTTTGAATTCAAATATTTGTAAAATTTAAGACAATATGGAGATCTGGACGCTGTTGTAAAAGGGTAATGATTTTATGTTGATTAATTATTAAACGAAAAATGTTGTTTAATTGCAACCAAAGACAATGGATTAATCAGATATACTGACATCGGTACAGACTGTATCAGAAAAAAAAAGTAATGTCTGGTAACAAACAAGTGAAAAGTAGGTTGAACATTTGCAGGTCTGTTCTCTAGATTTATAAGGAGCTATGTTTGATTTGATTAGGTTTATTGTTGTCACATGTATTGAGATTGTGAAAAGTGTTGACTTGTGTGCTCTGCAGGCAGATCGTACAATACAAAGTGCATCAAGTAGCAGAACAGACTGAATAACCTCCCATATTATTTTGAATACTTGGAACAACAATGCTGCTAGCCAAGTTGAAATTGGATTGTAGTCCAATACTGACATTGCCCTGAAGGAGGAAAGAAAGAAGCATCTAGGAACATATAGAATAATAAGGGGTTGATGTTTCCTGTGGTTCGGAAGTTGTGCCCAATAGTTCGATTTAAGCTCCTTGGAGGATAGATCTAATGGACAAGTTTCACTAGAGATCAGTCTATAACTGAAAAGTGCAGTTTTGAAGGGCTTATTGATTGGCCTGAGAAGCTAGCTCTATTAGAGAAAACAAAAGTAGTTGGAAATGTAACATGATGAAAAATGATATCTAGCAGTTCACCATGCCAATTGATGTTTAGTTATAACAGTATACAGAAATATTTTGGAGAGACAAAAGCAATGTTTTAATTTCAATATCGAACTTTGGCATGAGTTGAGTTAGAAATGGTAAGCAGAGATTTACTGGAGATTTTAGACATTTATGAATTATAATACAAGAAAGAAAACAACTATTCTGTTTAATAAGTTCATGACAAGGAGTCATGAGGGCTGATCTGCTGATAAAATGCACCCAGTCCGTACTGGAAGGAATGAATTGAACAGGAATATAATTTGGTAGATTCGTACAATATTCCAAAAAGAGTGGAACGAGAGGAGGCCTGATGACTGAAGAAAGGATAAAGACAAAAATTTTGTTTTCGTAATAAGTGGAAATAGCAGTCATGGACCCAAGTCTGGAACTTCAGGAGAAGTCTGTACAATAACGGGCACAGGAAGTTGAGGTCGATCTGGATACTTGGCAACTATTAGGTACCTGTATTCTGGCAGTAAGTGGTGAGGGCGGGCATGAAAGAGATAATAGACTGGAGTCCAGAGACAAAGGATTGGACTTAACGTAAAAACTGGAAGAACTGCGGATGCTGTAAATCAGGATCAAAAACACAAGTTGCTGGAAAAGCTCAGTTCTGGCAGCATCTGTGAAGAAAAAACATCAGTTAATGTTTCAGGTCCGGTGACCCTTGCTCAGAACTCCTTAAAACGTTAACTCTGACTTTGGCTTCACGGATGCTGCCAGACCTGCTGAGCTTTTCCAGCAACTTCTGTTTTTGTTGGATTTACTGTAGCTGGCTGCAATGGAAACCATGGTGGCCAGACCTACTTGACCATGACAGAGGCCTCACATCAGTTTTCTGCAGCATCAGAACCTCTGCCAGTTAAATTGGAGGGGTCCAAGCAGGCTCTATTCAGGATGGTTTGCAGAAAGCCACTCTAATGCCTTTGCCTCTAATTCCCTGTGTCCATCCCATCTTGTGACCCATGACCCCCTCTCACACTGACACACATTAGATCGGGGTTCCATGACATTCCAGGACCTGTGGTAAGTACAATGTCTCCAGCTTCCATGGTCTGTTGATTTGGCGACAGCAAAAAAAAAAGCAGGTCTTTGGCTGGCAGTTTAAGCAGTTGAGAGGTGAGCCATCAGATGCCAAATTGGAGAGCAGGCTGATGGTAGCCACAAATGCCTGAAGGATATCTGATTTGGTTGGGGCTTGGCCATGGAACTGAGAGAGCTTCCTACCATATTTTTCCTGCTGGTGAGTGAGACCATTCCCTGAAACAGTCTAGCCCAAAGTCAGAAGCATCATAGTGTGGGATATAGTTGACAGAAGTAGGGTGGTGTCAAATTTGAAGGCAGGGGAGTGAAGATCAGAATCTACTTTAAGGGTTAGGTTTTGAAAGCTATGTGAGGTGAGGTATTTCAAGAAAAAAAAAAGAATCCAGGCTATATGCAGGATCTGTGATGGGTAGGGGAATGAAGAAAAATGGTGATGAAGTTGGCATAGCCATGCAATCCAGATAGGGTGGATGAGTGCAGTTAGCTCAGGAGAGTGCATCTTTGGCAGACTGCAAGTAAAATCTATTGAACATGGTTGACTAATCTCAGGCTCATAGAACAGCTATTGTGAACAAATCAAGATGAATTAAAATTCAAAGAAAGGTTAGCAACCTAGTCTTCAATGTGGTCTAGTGAATAAATCTAGAATTGAGGTAGAGAAGTTCTAGAATTTGAGAAAAGATCAGGTGCTTATACTGAGGAAAACAAAGAGCAAACATTGATAGGCTGTGGATCATCCTAGTAGTTAACTTGTAGTAGAGTTCAGTGCATCCATTATAAGAGCTGAGGGGCATAAACTTAAACAATTGTGGAGTGGAGATTGACAGAAGAAGGTTAAAGACAGACAATAGGTGGCTGAGGACCAAGGTGAATAGAAAGAAACATTCCACTCAGAATTTCTTTGCAGATAGCAAGCCTGTGATAACTCAGCAAAATTTAGTTTATACCTTCTTTAATATGTACTTGTTTTGCAGTCAAATCTGAAGACTGATACTGCCCTGTCCATTTAGGTGTTCGCTTTTAAATCAATGAGTTAAAGGGTTGTCAGAAGTGCAGACCTGGATGATTTAAAATAGAATAGATAATATGTATGAAAGTGCAGAAATAGAAGGCAAAAGTAATGCATTGAAAAGCCTCAATAAATACAGTGAGAGAAAAAAATACCAAAGAACTGCAGATGCTGGAAATCAGAAATCACTGACAAAACTTAGCAGGTCAGGCAGCATCTGTAAAGAGAATGCAGAGCTAATATTCCGGGTCGAGTGACCCTTCTTCAGAACATATTGTCGCTAGGAAACAGTTGGTTTTTATGCTGTAGAAGGATAGGGGAAGGAGTAAACAATGGGTGAAGGTGGAGGCCAGAGAAAGAAAAACAGATAGGCAGACAAAGGTCAGCCTGAGAGAATGAAGAACTGCTAATGGGGTTGTTAGTGGCTGACGATGGGTTGTTTATGATGGCAGTCCATTAAGTTATTTAACTTGATATTGAATCCAGAAGGTTGCAGGGTTCCCAAGCAGATAATGAAGTGTTGTTTCTCCAGCTTGTGCTGCAATTCGCTAGAGCAAGACAGCGAACTCAGTGATGTGTTGAAATGGAACTGGAAGCTCAAGGCCATTTTTGTGGATGAAATGTAGGTGTCCTGAAAACCAGTTGCCCAGTCTGCGCTTAGCCTCCCTAATGTAGAGGTGAGCAACGAATACAGTAGTCTAAATTGAGTGAAATGCAGGTAAAAATCATTGTTTCATCTGGAAGGTGTGTCTGGGGCCTTGGGTAGTGAGGAGGGAGAAAGTGAACGGACAGGTGTTCTGTGATTGCATGGAAAGGTGCCATGGGGGTATGGGGAGATGTTGGGAGTGGAGGAAGAGTGGACCGAAGTATCCCTCTACAACTACCTTCTGTCTTCTATGGCCAAGACAATTTTGTATCCAACTGACCATGGATACCACGTGACTTAATATAGTGCATCAGCCTACCATGAGGTACCTTGTCAAATACTTCAGTAAAATCCATGTAGACTACATCCACTGCCCTACTCACATGAATCATCTTCATAGCTTGAATCATCTTCAAAGAGCATGATCAAATTTGAGACAAGGCCTCCCTCACACAAAACCAGGCTGACTATCCCTAATAAGTCATTTTTTCCCCAAATGTGAGTAAATTGTGTTCCTAAGAATCTGCTCCAATAATTTCTCTACCACTAATCTAAGACTCACTGTCCTATAATTTCATGGATTGTCCCTGTTGCCTTTCTTAAATAAAGGAACAACATTGGCTATGTTGCAGTCTTCTAGGATCTCTCCTGTGGCTAAAGGGTATACAAAAATATCTATCAAGGCCCCAGCGATCTCCTCCCTCGTCTCCCTCAGTATCCTGGGATGGATCCCATCACCCCCTAGGGACTTATCTACCTTTAATGTTTTTCAAGATGCCCAAAGCCACCACTTACTTAATAGGCATGCCCTAGAATTTCAAAATACCCCTTCCTAATCTTATCATCTTCTACCCTTCACCTTGGTGAAAGCCAATGCAAAGTACTTAATTACAGACCTCACCCACTTCCTGTGGCTCCATGCATAAATTCTCTCCTTTGTTCTTCAGTAGACCTACCCTTTACCTAGCTGTCCTCTTGCTCCTAATAGGTGTATAAAATGGCTTGGGATTCTCCTTAATCTTACTTGCCAAGGATGTTTCATGGGCCCTTTTAGCTCTCCTAATTCCTTGTTTAAGTTCTTTGCTGCTTCCTTTGTATTCCTCAAGGGCCTTGTCTGGTTTCAGTCTCCTAAACCTTACTT